TAAAGGAAAGAGACAAGCAATATAGGATTATTAGTGTCTGATGGAATTGTGTGTGGCTCGAGAACACTGTGGTGGGAATAACTCAATAAATCTAAGCTCCCTGTAGGAGGAGCTAGGACAAACCAATGTTATCCATCAGTCTGGTACAGGATTTATGGTCTTGGGAAAGCGTAGACTTCCCCAGTCTTAGAATGAGCCCAATTATTTGCAGGAATGTCTAAAATGTAGGATGGGGACAGCTACTGGTCACAGGACTTCAGAAGACAGGGGGCGTTGCGGGGCAGAGGGTAGACTCTCCCCACACTTGGCCAACAGTGTTGGTGCTGGTGGACAAGGATGCTGCACCCACCTTGTTTGTGATGTAGTGTCTGTTCCATAAACATGAAGGTCAGCATGAGGTTCGCCCCCGTCTCTGCTACTGCCCCCTCCACCCCCAACTAGTTTCACTTCCTTCTTCCCCTTTATCTGCCTCCTTGGGAGCGTAGGCACCCCCTGGCTTGGTCATTTAGAGCGTCCCATTGTGAGGCTGTTCATCTTCATGCAATGTTCTGTCTCCTTTCCCAGAGGACAGGCAGGGGAGCAGACACAGAATGGGGATATGTCTGTCCTTGTCTGATTGGGTCAGGGGCCAGGGTCCTGGATCCAGCCCCCCACTAGCAGTCATGTCTGGCCCACGTTCTCAGGAACATTCTTCCTCCTGTGTCTGGCTGGGTGTTGGGTCCAACTCCGAAGTGCTTGAGGATATAGGGTAGAGAGGTGCTTTCCTCTCCTCCCTGTCACTCCCTTCTCCCTGCAGTAGGGGAGGTGGTGGCAGCGGATAGGGAGGTCCCCAGTCAGACCTTCCAAAGTTCATCAACCAGTTGAAAACTGTGTTCAGAGAGGAGACCGTGATCAGTTGACTTTGAAGAACCGTAAGGCTGCTACGTGACAATTTCCAATGAGTTTAAAAGAAAAGTAAGTAGCACTGCTTTTTCTCCCAGCACCTACCCTCATCTTTTCTGGTGGCTTCAGTTTGTTGTGTTTACCTTTTTTGTGTGTGTGTGTGTGGGTAGTAGCTTCTGGGCTACACCTCACTGTGCTCAGGGCTAACTCCTGGCTCTGTGCTCAGGTGTGGTTCTGGGGATCAAACCCAGGTCATCCTGATACAAAGTAGATGCCTTCACTACTGTACTATCTCCCTGGTCTATTTCTTTTTAAAGTATGTTCAATTCTGCTTCCTTGTATTGCATGCATAGGTGAGATCACCCAGCTTTTGTCTTTCACCTTCTGTTTATTGCGTTTCCCATGATTCCCTGAGCTGCTTCAATTTTGCGACATGTAGCAAAGCTTCATCTTTTTATGACTTGCTAAAAAAATGACTGATTAGCAGTCCCTCATGTATAAATTTTTATGTGATTTAGTCCATTTGTTTTTCCCATATCTTAGCTACTATAAATATTGCTTCAATAAATGCTGGGATGCAGATAACTTTACCAACTGGGGGGATATTTCTATTCTTTGAATAGACACCCACATGTGGAGCTTCTGCGTTCTATAGTTATAAGTGGATTTTTGTTTGTTTATGGGCCACACTTGGCACTGATTAAGGACTACTCCTGGCTAGGTGCTCAGGCATTGCTTCCCGACTGTGTTCAGGGAATTGCTTAAAGCCCAGAATTGAACCCAGGCCTCTGCATGTAAAACATGTGGTCCAGCCCTCTATGCCATCTCCCCAGCCCTCTGTAATGCACTTTGTTTTGGGTTTTGAAGGGTCACATCAGGTGTTGCTTGGGGCTTGTACAACTTTTCTATGTTCAGGGATTGCGCCAGACATTGCTTGGGGGACCATATATTGTTCTGGGGGTTGAACCCGGGCTGGCCACATGTAAGGCAAGCACCTTATTCCCTGCATTATATATATATATATATATATATATATATATATATATATATATATTACCCTACAGTGCCCTTAAACACACACACACAACCCCCAGGACCAGGAATGAAGCTTGGAGATCAAGTGCCTACCTTGCATGTGCAAGGTCCTGGATTCCACTCCCAGCACCATAAAACAATCCAACAAAGGAACAAAGATCAAGATAAAAGTGTGAATTACACATGGCATTGTCTCTACTCTCTGGCTCCTGGGGAAGTCTAGAGTCTGTCAGCACCACATGGAGCTGCACCCTAGCTGCACGCCTCTGGGGTCCTTTGCTTTGTGCTCCAGCTGCAGGGACAGCACAGCTGGTGGTGTGAGCACATCGAGTGCTTCAGATGTGGGAACTAAGCTGGGCTCATGCTAGACTTCAGGATTGAGGGTGTGGGTATACCAGAGCCATATACCTTCTGCTCCTTCTCCAATCCGTGTCTTCAGTGCTCGGCTCAGAGCTTCAGGCCCCTCTGTGTTGGTCAGTGATCCTCATCATCACTGCAGCTTCCCCATACCTCAGGATGAAGTATGGACTAAGAGGCATTTGGTTCCCCATGGTCCTCTTCCAGGGTTCCACCAGGAGATAGGTGACCTGGGACTTGACCCAAAACTTTTATCCCTGCCAGGATGGAATTTCCCAGACTAGCAAGGGACCCCATCCTTGAGGCACCACTGGAAGAAAGGGCTGTGGTATGTCCACACCATGAAATACTATACAACAGTTTAAAAAAAAAAACACTAGTTCTATGTGGAAATAGTCGACAATTTTATCAAGGAGCAAAAACATGGTCATGCCTAACTTAATGGTGAGGATTCAGATCGGAAAATGAGTTATTTGGGGGTTTCATCATTACACAAACATCAGCATAATGACACCACCAAGAAGGAACAGTTGATGGCATCTTTGACTTACAGTGTGGCTAGCTAAAGTCCATCTGGGCTATCATTAGGATTGTGGCTGGCAACCTCCAACTGCAATGGGCTACAACTTAGGTGAAATTAAGAGCTCATATGCATGCTCCATTAGGCTTAGAACACACATATTGTGGAGAGAGAAATGTTTGGAGTGAAACACCCCAAGTTCAGGATGGCACTTTCTTGAGTGAAGGCCCAAGCAGGTTTCTTGTGTACTTCAAATTATAAGGATATATTAAAGTTGCTATAGTTCATGGATTTTTTTTACGTCATTGTTTCTTAAGCTTTTATTTATTCTGGGCCACATCCAGCTGTGCTCAAGGCTAACTCCTGCAACTGAACTCAAGACTGTCTCCTGATTGGGCTCAAGGAATCATATGTGGAGCTGGGTATCAAACCCAGGTTAGCAATATGCAGTGCAAGCACCTTACCTGTTGTACTATGGATCCAGCCCTAGCTTTTATTTGGGGCCACTCCTGCACTGTATAGTGCCTCTGCTGTGGGGTGTGTGTGTGTGTGTGTGTGTGTGTGTGTGTGTGTGTGTGTGTGTGTGTAGGAGAACCTCACAGTGCTGAAACTGGAACCCAGGCCTCCTGCACACAAACCTTCCTCCAGCCCTCTTTGAGCCATCTCCTGAACCCTGCATACTCATCTGGACTACGACAGTAAAGGATCAACTGAAAACACCAAAACACCAGACAGCTGATGCGATTAGACATGATTTATTTATCACTGGAAGTATTTTGCTCCAAAGTACGACACCAGACAGTTGACTACAATATCTCATGCGTCTTCTTGTGCTTCATTTTGTAACTGCAACACACACACACACACACACACTCACACACACACAGCTCAGACAAGGGTAAAATACAGGGGAGAAATGAATAAATGACAAGGATGTGGTCTCTCTTTGGGGATCCCCACCTCAAGGTAGCTTAGGCTGCAGCCACCTGCCCACCCGGACTCCTTTGCACCCCATGAACTTGCCCCACTGCACGGCTCTCCCACCTTGTGCTTGTTACAGGGCACCCTTTGGGAGCTTGGGAGTCTGAGAGTGCTTGTCACTTGGTCCACACGAGTCATTGTTTCACACTGAAACAGACACACACATGCAAGGGCACTCAGCCAACAGAACTAGATTGGGCATAAATAGTGGGGTTCCCAAGCAATGAGTGCAGACTCCCAATTCTCCAACCTCATTGCTGGACCTATGCCTTCTGGGGTCAACAGTCCAGCCTGAGATGGCACTGCATTTATGCTCACCTCAGCTTCCTGCCCTTCTTAGCAAACACTACCGGACCAAAGGACAAGATGCTCCCTTCTGAAATGCTCACACAGACTCGGTGACTCTCATGGGGCAGTGAATGGCAAGCGCACCTGGCTCGGAGGAAGCTGGTGCAAAGGAGTCCTTTGATTTGGCAGTCTGAGAGCCACAGATAAATGACAAATCACTAAAACCTGGGACTTGGTAAACAAACACAGTGATGATGTTCTTGTCTACAGTTGCATTTCCAGGAAGAGCTAAGAATTGTCAGGCAGGGGGATAGGAATTCAATGTCAGTAATGTCTAAGGCCCATGATGGAGCCTGATGCTGTTGCTGCCACAGTTGAGATCTCAGCTACAACTCCGATTCTGAATGCAGAGTCTTGGCAGAGTCTTCTTCCTGCTTCCCCAGCTGCCTCTTCTCAGTCACTCACCCAGCAAAGATTTGTGAAAGGTCCATGAACCAGTGCTATGCGGGCACTCACGATACACCCATGAGCAGGATGGGTAACTGCCTGCCAGCCTGTCCCTCTCTGTGTGTCCCTGCTAAGCTGGGTGATGCCTGACTCATTAGTTGCTATGCAGGGGAATTTGACTTCTACTGGGGCAACTATTAGTTTGAATTCTGGAAAATGGCAAGGTTGAAATCCAAGGAAAGGATCTTATCCAGAAGCCTTTTCCAAGCAGGGAACAGGTGAGGGTCCAGAGACTGGTCATCAAGCATCAAGCCAAACGCACAAAACATGGTCTTAGAAAGGCTTGGGGTGGTGCTTCCGCTTCTCCTAGCACTGTTAGCTGCCAAGATGAAATGTTAAGATGATCTACTGGTGGCCTCAGAGCTTGTCTGTAGTTAGGAAGCTTGTAGATTGTGCACGCAACATCACTGATCATCCCCACAACCCCCTGCCTGCAAAGAGCCATTACATGGGCAGTCCCATTGTACAGATAGCCCATCAGAACCCAGGGCTCTCAGCTCTTGGCTTAATATCACATGCACTCAACAGGCTCCTCCTGTAGATTTCATGATTGACATGATCAGCTCTTGGGAATGATAAGTAGACATCTAAACCCTACTGGCTACTTAATTACTGGCTGAAGGAGTAGTAGGTTCTGCAAGTGGGGGAGGGAGGCACATTGCTAAATTCTTTTTATCTTTCATCCACTTTCACATGGCCAGATGCAACAGAAAAAACCAACATGGCACCCACTGGGTCTCTCCACTGGAGGTTGGGAAGCAGAGAAGGGGAAATCTCTAAGGGTGATTTGGTGATACTGGTGGGGCCAGGGCCCCTAGAGTGCAGAATCCAGTCCACTGATGTACTCCTGCCTCTTCCTGGTCATCAAAGGTCCCCCACCCCCACCCCAAATGGCAGAGAAACTGATTTAGGGATCCAACAATATGGAAACTGCATCATTGCACACGCTTCAGTGCTAAGACCAGGTCACCCAGATCTGAAGTATTAAGAGCCTGAAGCGATCAGCGGCCACCACACTTGGCCCAGATGGCTGAGGTGTCATTCCTGCATTAGAACTGGCAGCCCCACTGTGTCGGGCATCCCAGCGAGGATGGTGGGAACATGTCTGGAATGTCACAGAAGAATTCAATCAAGGATTCCCACCTCTCACAATTCCACTCGGCCCTTGTGTACATGGCAGCTTCAAGCTTTCTGCCAAGAATACGGATTGGGAATGTTTGCAAGCTGGCTCAAGAATTGCTGGTGATTCTGCCCATATTAAGGGTGAAAATTGCTGGGTTCCAGAAGGTGAAGGGGTGCAGGGTGGGAATCGGAACAGGATTTAATGCTGGTTGAGCTTTTCATCCCACCCCACTGCTACTTCTCCCAGTTGCTCCGGAATCTGTCATTTTGGGTCAGTCTTTCTAGAAGCCTCCTCCCTCTTGACATCGGTCAGTCCTCCACATCAAGAGTCCTCTGCATCCATCTGGAGGCCCTGGCACCATGCTGGATTCATTACCTCTCTTTCAAGAATGTAGAGGAGGTCCTACTCCTAGAACCTGCCTGTCCCACTTCCATGCATTTCCCTGTCCCGATCTTTGTGAGAAACAGGGGGCAGGATGAGAGGGGGCAGGGGCTTGGTTTCTGCCAAGAGTCTGTCTTCCGGAAGTCGGAAGTCGGAATGAGGATGGGGGCACAATGACGACGAGGTCACGGAGGACAACCGGGGCCGGCCTCCAGGGGGCGCTCCTCCACCTGCGCGGTTACTGGTGCAGCTGGTGCCACATGGCGATCTGCCTCCGAGGGTTCTTGAGCATCTCCTCCCAGTGGCTGCGCTCAGAGCCGGAGGCATGCAGGCCCAGGCTGCAGTGGCCCAGGGGGCAGCTCTGCCCTCCCTCCTCCTGGCTCAGCACCTCGAGCTCCACGCTGGAAGCCCGCAGCAGGTCGTCGGGCAGCTCAAACATGATCATCTCGTTCCACACCGGGTTGATCTTATGCTTGGCTCGTTTTGTCTGCTTCTTCTTCAGCTTCTGAGCTTGGTGCTTTAAGGTGACCTTGACAGAGACATCTGGAGAGTGGCGGGGGGAGAGAGAGAAAGAAGAGAGAGAGAGAGAGAGAGAGAGAGAGAGAGAGAGAGAGAGAGAGAGAGAGAGAGAAGAGATGGGGAAGGGACAAGAATAAGCTATGTGCCAGGAGGATGCTTCCTTTTGCAACTGGAGACATATGATTTGCTCTAGACAGGAAGTTCTCCCTCCCTCCCTCCCTCCCTCTCCCCCTTCTCTCTCTGCATCCTGCATCTCCCCAGACTATGCATTTATCCATTCAATAACTACTGACCTGCAGACACTGATCTAGACATAGGAATATAACTGTCTCATGGAACTTAAATGAAACCGCCCTCACCCTTGGTCCAAGAATTCTGTCTGTCCCTAGCATGACAGGCCTCTGGCTGCAGGACTAACATTTTCTCTGCTCAAGAGCTCCAACTTCCTGTGGAGGGAAAGGGCAGAGTGCTCAGGACTCCTGGTTAATTGCATGGAGAGCGATGCCTTGAACCCCTACTCCCACTCTGCCAGAAAACCGCCAACATAACATCATAGGGCTCAGGAAACCCGGAAGTTATCCTGAGTCAAGGCCTCTAGCCAATGTGCTAATCATTTATTCTCTGGGGAGATGGCTTTCATTGCCCCTGGCCTTGTGGAGTGGGTCATTTCAGTGGTGATATATGAGAGACAAAGGGTGAGGCTGGTCCTGTCCTGATAGGAGCCACTGAAAATGAGAAGGAGGCGCCTTGAATTCTGATGCCCGGTCCAGGAATCAATGCAGGAACAAATCTCCTGATTTTCTTTGCCCAGTATCTTTTGTTCAAAAACTCCAAATGCAATGGAACTTTATTGTTTGCATTCCACTATAGAAAATAGTTCCCTCCCTTCCTTCCTCCCTCATCTCTTCAGCCCCAGAATCTATTTCTTCATCTCCTGCTCCTACCCAGGACTCTGGGTGCTGCAATCAGACCACCCACAAGTGAGACATTTCTTCTCTGAAAAGTGACCCTCTGGCCCCAAGCATTGAAGCCTGGGGTATCCAGAAGGGAAAACCGAGTCTTCCAGAACATTGAAGAGAGGTCTATTTGGGTATATGGGACACAGATGCTTGACGCCTCAGCCTTGGCACCCACACACCTTCTGGTATCACCCACACTTAGCTGGTGTGGGGGTGGTGGGTTGGCAGAGGCTGAGAGGAGAGAGAACCTGCCGGGATGCAGAGCATGGTGGGGGCCGAGATGGGCGGAGGTGCCAGCCAGGGCTTCCCCTGACCCCAAGGCTGGTGGTGCCCCTCAGATCTAGGTTCAAGGCTAATAAATTTTTGCAAGGTTAGTCAACTTTCTCAAGGTTAGTCAGTTTCCACAAGGCTAGTCAACACCCCCTCTACCTCCCTACCCTTACCACCTCCAATGACTCTGCAGGGTCATACATTGGCTTCAAGCATCCAAGCTTCAGGCTGATTCTATTCCTGTTCTATCTCCCAGGCAGGGAGCCCGTGGGATGCAACTGGCCAGGAGAAAATGGATGGGGCTTTAATTAATGTCTTAGTTTTGGGGGACTACACGGGTGTTGCTCAGGGTTTACTACCAGCTCTGTGCTTGGGGGATGCTCCTAGGGGTGCTCATATAGAGTTGGGGATCAAACCTGGACTTCCTGAATGCATAGCATGTGCTCTAGCACAGTGAGTTAGCTCCTCACACCCCTGATACCCCCTCTTTTAGTTTTTGGGCCACACTCAGCAATGCTGTTGGGGACCACTTTTAGCAGGACTTGGGAGATAACACAGTGCCTGGAATTGAACCCAAGCACTTCACAGGTGCTCTATCACTGAACCACATTCCCTGAGCCCAAGAGATAATACAGTTGGTAGGGATAGGGCACTTACCTGGTTTGTGGCTGACTTGGGTTTGATCCCCGGGACCCCATATGGTCCCTGGAGCACTTCCAGGAGTGACCCCTGAGTACAGAGCCAGGTATAGCCCCTGAGAAGTGACAGGTGTGGTCCTCACACAAACAAAAGGACTAAAATATATTCCAGGCCCTGGATGTGTCTTCAAGGAAGTGAGTGTGTCCTTTAAACTGGGTCGTGAGTTTGGGACAAAAAACATAATTGAGGCTGACACTCCCAAAGCCCAAAGAAGTCATGGTCTACCTAGGACTATAAGACAGAACTGAAACTCCCTAGCACTCAGACATTTGGTGAATGAGATATATGGCAGTTTGGACATCTAGCCAGATGTTGGAAGCTCAGAAAAGCATGTTCCTGGAGAACCAAAGGGACCTAGCATTCCTAGAAATGTTACCCTCATTAAACTTAGACGTCTGGCTGTTGGACTGGTTAATAATAAAAAAAAAAACCACCCTCTTCTGATCGATGACATCTAGCTTACACCACTTAGTTAAAGGAAGTTCCCTATACGGTCCAGCAGACATCCAACTCTCTGGGGGTCCACCCAGCAGCCTTTTCTAATAAAGTTTTCTTGCTCACAGTAGAGTCTAGTCTGGTTTCTGGCAACCTAGCGAGGACCCGGGGATCTCTGGTTCCCGCTCCCCTCACTCACCCTTCCCCAGGAGCTCCTTGGATTGGTTCGCGTGGAGGTTCTTGGCTTTGATCAGCACGACCAGCAGGCGGTTGGCAGCCGGGAGGTAGCTGATGGACAGCAGGACCTCCCCAGCTCCCGCAGACGGCTCCTGTGACACACGAGGGACATGGCAGACCGGTGGTGTTTGGGGTGGTTTCTGGCCCAGCAACTTAGCTGAGCTTTGGGATGCTGCACTGGATCTGTACCCTTCCCCACCCAGGCAGCCTCCAAACCCATCAAGGCTGGTTTCGCCACCTCTGCAAAAGGCAAGGGGGCTTTACATGACACATGCTTGAATAAGAACTCATGTCCTTCAGCAGGAAACGGGCTTTCCCAAATAGTCTGGTAGTCAAACCTGACACACAAAGCAGATTAAAGAGGAAGCCCCAAGTCTCCCTTCACGCCCCAAGCAGAGCCCTGGCAGCCAAAAAACCTCCACACCCCAACCACTGCCATGTTCAAGGCCACTCTCCACATGCTTGGACGACCTCTCCCAAGAGGGGACGAGCCTCACTCAAGATGGGATGAACCTCACTGGAGAGCAGACTGGCAGGAAAACCCAGGTACGCAGGAACCCGTGACTGAGATCTCTAAGCCCATTTGGATCGGGGCTTCCTGCCCCCCAGATCCCCAGTTTTCCAGTAGCTTGGCAGTGACATCCACAAACCGCCCCTGGCGCTATGTAATCTCATTAACAGCCAAGACCCAGAGACTATAAACTAAAGGTCCTGGAGAGAATGACACAGAATTTCCTGGACATTATCCTCTATCCATAACAAGATATACAAAACAAATTCGCATTGCCTTTTTGGCAAATTTGAGTGGTGGTGAGACTGGTATCGAAATATCGAATGTAACCAAAGTAGAGAGAGAGTATGGGGGAAATTGTCTGCTACATATGCAGAAGAAGGGTTGGAACAGGGGTGGAGGAGGGGGACTACTGAGGATTTTGGTGGTGGAAAATGTGCACTGGTGAAGGGATGGGTGTTTGATGATTGTATAACCAAAGCTCAAACATGAAAGCTGTGTAACTTTCTCACAGTGAATCAAAAAAAAAAAAAAGGAGTCGGGGGAAATAATAATAAAATAAGATTAACATTTTGAATAAAAAAAAAGTAATGTGGAGTTCATGCCTAATTAAATCAGCTTAATCAATGGCTGAATAAATAGCAGTATTCTTACATTTCAAGCCCCAGGGTGGCGTAGAGGGTCAGGACCAGGACCCTCCTCCACTATCCCCACCCCACCCCTGCCTTGGGCTGTGAGGGCAGCTCTGTGGACATCTGGGGTTCCAGGCTACACGGTCTAAGAACCACTGCATGGACAGCTTGGATGCCCCGGGCAGTGTAAAATTGTCATTCGTCTCTCATTACCCCATTTGCAAAGAGAATTCTATTCCTGCAGGGCTGAATGACTGGGCTGGGCAGGGCCTTGCTGGGTTATCAGAGAAAAGAGCCCGACTAAGGAAGGCAGGTACAGCCCAGCACAGGCAGCTCTGCTGAGCAGGAGACATGGAGGCCTCCCAGATAGAGGCAGAGTGTGAGTATGTGTGTGTGTGGTTTTGTGTATGGGTGTGGTTTTCTGTGTGTGGGTGGTTGTGTGTTGTATTTGTGTGGGGGGTATGGTTGTGTGTTTGTATATGGTTGAATGTGGTTGTGTGTGGTATTGTATATGTGGTTGTGTGTGTGGTTATGTGGGTTGTTGTTGTGTGTGTGTGTGTGTGTGGCGGTGGAGGGGGTGTGGCAGATGCTGTTGACTACCTCTCTGCCTCTGCCATTCTTCCTTATGCAGCTGGCTGTGGAGGACCTTTCGGGAAGCTGAACCCCACTCCCACCACCAAAGACCATAGGACACAAGATGTCTCCTCCTTTGATCAGACCCAGCCCACAGGTCTGTGGGCCCAGCACAAACCTTGGCTTGACGTCATGTAAGGTGTTACATGAGTCAATGGATGGCAGGGGAGGGGACATATGCCTGAGCTCCAGAATTTACTAGTCTCTGACAGAGAAGCCTGCCTGCCTGCCTGCCTGCCTCCCTCCCTCCTTCCTTCCTCTCTCCCTCTCTCCCTCCCTCCCTAATCCCAGGGCACTCACCGGGGGTTGGGAGCTGGCATGGGTGCCAGGAAGTGACCAGGCTGGAGTCCTTTGCTCCCCCCTAAGTCCAGAGGAGAAGCATCCAGACCCATCAGCCCCCCAAGACTCCTTGGTGTGAGGATCAAGGGCCCCCGAAGTGAGCAGTCTGCTGCCCACACTAAAGAGTGTTAACATCTCCCCAGGCCCACTGCCAAAGGCACCTGCCAGCAGAAACCACCTTCATTTCTCCTCCCTCTCCCGCCCCTCCCCAATCTCTCTGGCTCTCCATGACTCATTCCTGCTGTCCTTGGAAAGGGGTGCGCTGTGGTCCCTGCTGACGCACATGCCACTTTAGGCTGTTTTCCGGTGAGAACTGGGACGTGACCAGCACCTCTGTTAACCCCTGCAGGCCTAGAGGGAGAAACTCATGTGCCACAGCAAGCCAAGGCTCTGCCCACCTGGTTCCAATGGGCCATACACTATCTGGACCCAGGGATTCAGGGGCTCTCCAGCCAAATACCCCCAACACGCGGCTCTCTCTGTGTTGGGTCCCCACCCATGGGAAATAAGCACACACGTATTTCCGATGACATGACATGATGTTAACATGACGTCTTGTGACATGACTTGGAGGATGGCCACATCTCAGCCCCTGAGGGAAACCGGGCATACAGCTTACAACTCCCAGAAGGGCTCGACTTCACCCAAGGGCGTGGTGCCAACTTCTCCAAATTTGGGGGGCAGAGGGGCAGGTCCCATCTCTGCCCTAAGCTGCTTTACCCTTTGGATAATGCCCCCAAGTCCCCAATTGGACACTGATTGGTGTTAGGGAACAGCCTGGACTCAGAGTGGCCATCCACTCTCATCAGTTTCCAAGAGCATGGACAGAGAACAAGGCAAGGAGCGCATCCCTTGAGGGAAGCAGGCGGTGTGAGGGTGGGGTGGGGGAAGAGGTTTACAGCAGGACCCCTGGGCCTCAGGTCACGCTCACCAGGTCCAGGCCTTGGGGCCCGCCTCTGAGGGTATGCTAAGCCTCCATTTCCCTGTCTGAAAATGTGGTGGTCATGTCGTCTCTCCGCCATGGTGGGGATATGAGCAAGAACCGAGGTGTGGTTTATGCAAGACAAGTGGCAGGTGATAAGTGCTAGAACCAAGCCCTCCTTTTAGTCATTTATTACAGGGGAGCTGGGGTGGCGGTTCTGTAAAGGGTCGGATAGTAAAGCTTACCAGAATCCAGATGAGGTGGGAGCCTGGTTACCCATGGGATTCCTCCAGGCACCCTGATGGCAGGCTCTGGAGTGGGGAATCTGGCCGGGTCCCTGTGCCCAATCCTGCACTCTGGCCTCCCCAACTCCTTGCTGCCCTGGCCTACGGAGAATGAAAGTGTGTCCCCAAGAACCTGGTGTGTTCACCAGGGGCTGGTGAGCACAGGGTACCTGGGCTTGCTCTGCTCAATCCCTCAGAGCCTGGCCCAGGTGCCACCATACACTGGCTGGAATTCTAGAAGTCTCCATCACAGCACTTGGGCTTCATCCTGCCCAGATGTCCAAGGATTCCACACATGTCAGAAAGAAAGGCTTTTCCTACTATCTCAATGTTTCTAGAGACAGTAGGACATATTTCTATGACATATAGACATATTTCTAGAACATTACAATTTGGTCTGATTTGATATATTAGTTGGGGGAATCTCCCGTCTTTTTTTCTTTTTTACTATCAATGAATGATAGCTTCCCTAGACCCTCAAATCTCCTCCCAAAACACCCAGGAATAGTATACTCTGATAGTGGGGGAATATGTATTTTCATCATCATCTATCCTTTCTAATGAATCCTTGAGGTCTGCTCATTCTAGGAGCTGAGGGGGTCACATGGGCTCATTTCTCCCCTGAAGTGCAACGTTGGTGAATGTATTTATTAATTGTGGGACAATGGTTGAGGCCACACCCAGCTGTGCTCAGGACTTACTCCTGGATCTGTGTTCAGGGATCATCCCAGCGGTGTCAGACGGAAGACCATATGCAGTGCAGGGAAGGACTCTAAAGCTTGTTCTCTCTCTCTCTCTGTCTTTCTCTCCTCTCTCTATCTCTGTCTCTCTGTTTCTGTGTCTCTCTATGTCTGTCTCTCTCTCTCTCTGTCTCTCCTCCCTCTCACACTCAGGCTAGAAAGGTCCCTCAGGTTTGTATATATACGCTCTCCCTCTGTTAGTCTCTCTCTCTCTCTCTCTCTCTCTCTCTCTGTATGTGTCAAGCTGGGAAGGTCTCTCAGGCTTGTACACACACTCTCTTGTTTGTGTGTGTGTGTGTGTGTGTGTGTGTGTGTGTGTGTGTGAAGCTGGGAAGGTCTCTCAGGCTTGTACACACACTTTCTCTAGGTTTCTGTCTCTCTCTGGCTTGTTCCAGCTCAGTCTTGCCACTTCCCACCCACTAATAGCCACTAATAGGTGTTTCCTCCCTGGGAGAGGACCCCCCCTACCTTCACCGAAGTCTTCAGTTCTCCCCACTGGGGCGTGCCCAGGGGCACAGAGGTCCCATCCAGGCCCAGGTGGAGCTCCCCAGCCACGCTGTGGCGGGAGAAGCGGTCGCAGGTCCTCAGGGTTAGTGTCAGGGTTGCCGAGGGCAACTCCTCCTCCGCCAGGGGGAGCACCAGGCCTTCCTCCCAGACGGTGCGCAGCTGACGCTTCTTCAGGCCCGTCTGGGCCTCCACACAGCCTGTCCTGTTGGTCACGCTGCCCTGGACATAGCAGTCACAGCCACCCTCGTGGTCACTGGTCACGGCTGCAGCCACAGAGAAAGCAGAGGGAGTCTCAGGGCCTCAGACGGGAGAGGCCGGGCTCAGCTGGGTACTGCTGGGTCAAGGTCACACCCTGGTGTCCACCGGCCCTTAGGGGCTGGACTCCTTGACTTGGGGGCGTGTTTTCCATAGGACTTCTCCCATAAACTTGCCCCTGTGCTTTTGGGATAGGCTTTTGGGGTAGGCTCCTCATTAATAACTGGAGAAGCAGTTGCTGAAGTTTCCCAGGACAAGCAGACACAGTTTTGAGGCCTCGATGTTGAACAAATCACTTGGTATCATTGGACCTACATTTCCAAATATGCAAAATGGGGCCATTGTGATGATTGATAATGACCCGGAGAAGTCTCAGCTTTGCTAATTAATGGCAAAGTAAATTGTTAGGGAGTCTCCCCCTGCCCCCAGACAGATTATTTGGTTATCAGAATGTGGACATGATTTGGATCACCCAGGTCACCCTCTACGTCCAGCACAAAGCCCTCTCAGAGACTTGAGAGGTAAAGAAGGCTCACTGTTAATCTATACCTCATTTCTCTTGAGCAACTGGGAAGGTCTAACCTAGGTCTAATCTTCCATCTCTAACAGATGTGTGGGCATCTGTTAGACTACATTTCCCAGAACCCTTTGCAATCAGGGGTCATGTGACCAAGCATCTGCCAATGGGTTCTGAGCAGGCGTGTTCTCCCTCTCCTTCCTTCTGTAGCTTCAGATACTGAGGGAGCCTGAGTTGACTATAGCATCACTGATAAGATGCTGGAATCACCTTCTGGACTTCATTCTGGACAGAAATAACCCGGGCGTGTCTCAGCAGCCCACATTTCAGGCTGTTCCGGTGCTCCCTCCAGTCACATCTACTGTAGTCCCACCCACCCAGTGCTGGGGGGCGGGGGGGGGGGGGGGGGGGGGGGGGGAAGAACATCCAGAAGCCCGCAGAAGCCAAACCAGAGCAGTACCTTCCAGGCGAGTGACAAACAGTTCCGCTTTCTGCTGATCGTAGTCCAGGCAGTACTGGAGCTTGGGGGCCTGGTTCCAGCTGGCGGCCTTCTCTGGGTTCCAGGTCTCCATGACACACACGTCCTCCACCACACCTGTTAGGAGAGGAACGACCATCCAGAAGCCCCTCCCCACCTACTTTTGGGACCGTGCTATTCTCCTCTTTGCCACAAATCCAGACCCTAGGCATAGTCAGTGGCCACTCTAGGTCATGGGACCTTCCCCGCTCCAGTGGGTCAAGACAGGGGCTCTAGAGGCAGACAGGAGCTTCTGTGTGATAGCCCTTGACCTTGGACCAGTAACCTGACTTCTCTGAACCTCAGTATCTTCAGCTTTTTAAGGGGAATGAGGATGGCTACCCCAGAAGAAGGACAGGGAGAGCCCCAGGCCTGATATGCAGTGAGCTTTCGGAGGAAGTTTTCCCCATCTGGGATGGTGGGGGAGAGGGAGAGGGAGAACCCAGCCTGTCTCTAACTTTGCCTTTCACATTCGATTCAGTCCCAGCTCCACTGGAGTCATGGCTTGAGATCAGTGACAGAATGAGTCAGGAGGTGCTGGGAGCAAGGTCAGGATGAGTGACCTTAACTTTAGTACTTATTTAATCGATGCTTCAGGGAAAAATAAATGACCGCATGCATGGCCTTACCTCAAACCAGAAGTTCCTAAAAACCCAAATACTGTTCACTCTGCCTCTGACTTGGGCAGGGAGCAAACATCTGGCAGGATCTCATTAGCAACACCACAGTCCAACAACAAAAGGGTTCAACAGCTGCGGCAGACTCCAATAGACGCAAATTGGAATTTAAACAATTTTTTTTTAATTTTCAAAAATAATCCAGCAGGCAGAAATAGAAAGGCCTCTTTAATTTCCAAAATGATTCATGACTGAGTTCCTGTGAGTGGTGAAAAAAATCTCCCTGCTGCATCCAAGCAAGGAGCAGTCAAATCAGGATGTGAGCGATGTGGGGAGTGACATGTACTCAAGGCCGCCTGACATCCAAGGACACCACAAGAACAAGTGCAGTAAGGACTGGTCTGGCACCCACAGACCTCAGCACTCAGCTGTCCACCATCAACATCAAAGCCAAACCAAGTTGGAAGCAGCTGGAAATGTAAACACAGATTCAGCTCCAAGAAAGGGGATTTTTAGGGCAGGGTAGAGAGCTCAAAGGACTGGAAAGCAAGTTTGGCATTCCAGAAACCTGGATTTGATCCCCAGCATTTGTAGGGTCCCCGAACACCTCTGGGATAGACCCTTGAGCACTGGGCCAGGGATAATTCCTGAGTACCATCAGGTGTGCCGCCTCTTAACCCCAAAACAAGAAAAAGAAATGTAACTTTACATAGCATTAGCAGGAGCAGGGAAATGCAAACCCAAACAATGAGATAGCACCTCCCACAGGTGAGAATGTCATATATATATATATATATATATATATATATATTTTAAAGCCAAGAAACTAACAGCAAGTGTTGCTAGGGATAAGGAAAGAAAATAACCCTCATATGCTGTTGGTGGGAAAGTAACCTGGTCCTGCCTCTACGGAAACCAGCACAAAGATTTCCAAAAGCTTGAAAAAAGAACTCTGCAATTGACCCAGCAGTTCCATTCCTGGGCGTCTATCCCAAGAACACAAGAGAATTCATTGAAAAAGATATTAGCATTCTGATGTTCACTGCCATTCTATCCATAATAGCCAAGATCTGAAAACAACCCAAATTCCCAACAGATGAGTGGAGAAGACATTGTGGTATCTAGACACAATGGAATACTACTCAGCTCTCAGAATAGGTGAAGTCTTGGGGCCAGAGCAATAGTACAGTGGGCACTTGCCTTGCACAGTCAACCCTGTTGCAATTCCCAGCATCCCATATGGGACCCCAAGCCCACCTGGGATGAACTCTGAGCACAGAGCCAGGTGTAAGCCCTGAGCACTGCTGGACGTGCCCCCAGCCTCTCCCCATCCCCCCAAAAAAAGAGAAGTCTTATGATTTGCTATCACTTGAAAGGATTTGGAGAAAGCAAATTGGAGAAGCATACTAAGCAAAGTGAGTCAGAAGAAGAAAGACAAACACCATATTTCATTCCTTTATGGGATAGAGAATAACCAAGCAAGGGAGAAAACAATGGTCAGTGAACACAAACCCTCAGACTCTGAGAATGGAATTAAGGTTATCCCATTTCCAGTGGGAAAGTGGAAGGGAAGGTCATCTGAACTGTAGTGGAGGGACAGTGGCACTTTGGTGGTGGCCGTGGAGTGGTGACATTGTACTCTTACAATGTATAACATGCACATTGCATTTTAAAAACAGAAAGAGGCCATAGAGACAGTGCCAGGGGTAAAGTGTTGGCTTTGCACAAAGTTGACCTGACTTCAATCCCCAACACCCTACATGGTTTCCTGAGCTGTTCCAGGAGAAAACCCTGAGCAACACTAGATGTCACTCCCAAACCAACGATAAATTAAAAAAATAAAACCAGGGGGAAAAAAAAGAGAGAAACTGGGCTTTGAGCTCTATAAGGAGCTGGTGACGGTGACCCATGGCAAAAGTGTTCCTGCTCACTGAAGAAGGATGAGGAGGTAGGAAGGAATTCCTGGCTTCAGGAGGCTTCATCATTGAAACTCGGAATTCCCTCTCCCACTCGCTCTGGTGGAGTGCCCAATTCTGGCTTCCTTTGGGTATTGAGAAATTAGGGGACCTCCAAAGGGAACCCTTCTATGATAACAATTATTCCACTGAGTCCTCATGTAAATTGTTCCCCACCCTCTACCTTAAGCTCTTAAATCTTCAATGAGCCTATTAGAAATCTATCTATCTATTTTGAGGGGCCTCTTAAGACATGTTCAGGTGACTTAGGGCCACTCCAGTGATACTTGGCCAACCGGGCCATACTCTTCAAGGTTAGGGCTAGAGGATGTGTTGCTGCTTGAACCCTGGAGCTCTGGGACAGCCAAGACCACAGCCAGCAGTGCTTGGGGGCCCACACAGTGCTGGGAAATGAAACTGGGGATGGCCACGTATCAGGCATGTACCCCTGCTCTCTCCCTGACCTAGGCCCAGAGTTTTCACCCTGCCTCTAGCTGTACACCTATCTTGAAGGAGTGGTCCCATTCTCAGTGGAAAGTTGGAGTCCTTGGGAATATGGCAACACGTGAGTAGGAATAATGGTCGCATCCTATGCCCCATACCTGCCTGCCTGCTCATCATCAGATGCCATGCACATTGGGGGGTCTCCTTCATCCCCCACACACCCCTCTAGTGTGTTACCCACAGAAAAAGGAGGGGTAGGAACGCTTTACCATTCTGAGGAAGGATGAACAGCTCCTCTGTGACCTGCCTCTTGAGGCGACTGTCACAGGGAGCCGGGGGGCTGCTGGGTGCTGCAGGCTCCTCTGTGGTCCGCAGTGCGTAGTCGGCATAGTTGATCACTTCCGGGGCAGTCACTGCTGGCCTGGGGCCATAGACATCCGGGAACTGGAGAAGGGCTCTGGGCTGAACGGGCTCCGTAGACTTCTTAACATTGAACTGCAAGCAAAAATCACATGGTTTAATCCACGGTGGGGGTTGGGGGGGGCGCAGGGCAGAGCATTTGACTGAATGATCCCATTGACCAGGGGAGCTCAGGTTACCTCAAAACCCATCAGAAGGGAGCTGGAGAGATAGCCCAGCGGGTAAGGCATTTGCCTTGCACGCGGCCAACCCAGGTTCGATTCCCAGCATCCCATATGGTCCCCTGAGCACCACCAGGAGTAACACCTGAGTGCAGAGCCAGGAGTAACCCCTGTGCATTGCAGGGTGTGACCCAAAAAGCAAAAAAAAAAAAAAACCATCAGAAGCCGCACAGCCTGGGTCTTGTGGGGTTGGTCCTGTTCATCCTTCCTTAGTACCTTCCAGCCTCCCATCCACGGTGTGTGTGTGTGGGGGGGGGCTGACATCACAGGGAGTGGATGAGGATGGCTTTGCTCCAGAAGCAAGCAGCCTGGGGTCCAGGCAGGGAACACAAGCAGTGACTGTGGCCCGAGGCTCTCACGCTCACAAGTTGATGCCTCTCCTCTGCAACATCTCCTCAGAGTCGCACTGATCGCACTCCACGCCGTGCAGGCAGCTGAGGTTCTAAAATTGGAACTGGACCTCCAGCAGATCAGGTCTCACCCGTATCTGTCCTGCCGCCCTGAATCTCCTTCTCAAAGCAAACACCCAGGGACTTGGAGCCGGCTTCATCGTAGCTATCTATGTGACAATCCTGGTAGTAGTGGCAGCAACCTAGGGATGCTGGGACCCGTGTGGTGCTGGGGTTAGAACTTGGTCCCTGGGCCTGCATTGCATCCCTGATCACTATCTTCCTGCCCCTGTATTTGTGTTTTTAGGGAGGATCTACTCTTTGGGCTCAGCTCTGGGACAAGGCTACTGTGTCATTCAGCCTCCGTAGCACCTGGGGCCACATTTATCCCCCACTTTAGTTTGTGGGCACTGGGGCACCTCAGGAGCTCATGGGATGTGCTTCAAATGATGTTCCAGAGTAGCATGGGGACTGCTACTCTGTCTCAACTGTCCATCATTTGTTCGATGTCCACCTCTCCTACTTTTTTTGCCTTTCTTCCACAGCATCAGATTTTCCGATTCTCCCACTCCTCATTCCCTGGGGGGTGGGGTTATGTCCGATCTGACACCTGCTCCCCCCCCCCTTCCTGGCTCAGAGATGACTGCTGGTCCTGAGATGCCAAAAGGGAAGGCATTTCTCTCCCAGCTGGGCAGATCCTGGTGGCCCTGTCTCGTGACTGCAAGGTGAATCAGCCTGATGCCGAAGGCGAAGTGGGGGTGAGGGGCGGGGTGCAGAGAGGAGAGGTTCTGATGAAGGGATTGTGAAGCCACCACATGCAGCAGGTCTGAGACGCTGAGCAGAGCAACTTTCCTTTCCAGCTGTTGAAGTCTTTCTGAAGTGGGATTTGAGTGACTGGCAGCCCGGAGCTGCCCCAGTGGAGGGTCTGCGGTCTCCACTAGAGAGGGACCCCGGAGACTGGGGTCCGCCCACTCTGAGGTCTGACCCCGCCCACTCTGGGCTCTGCCCTGCCCACTCTGAGGGTTGGCCCCACCCACTCTGAGGGCGGGCCCCGCCCCGACCTGAGCCCCACCCTTTCCTCCACCTCTCAGCCCACTGCCCCAGCATCCTCACAGGCTCCTTGTCCTTGTTCAGTCTGTGCCGCTGCATCTCTCTTAAGGCCAGCGAGTGTCTGACGGCTAGCTACATGAGCCGCTTCTCTTAGAGAAAGCAGCAGCGGTACTAACCCACCCTCTTTACTGCATTGCAAATCCCACTGCCCCCACATCCCCAAACCCAGTTGAAGTTCTGCTTCAACAGCTTCAGCGGTTTTGCACGGCTGTGCCCGAGGAGAAGGAAGAGGAGAATGAAAGAAGGCGAAAGGGGCAGTCGCGGAGCTCCTAGGATGTTGGAAGGAGTGCAGGGTAGCTGACACCTAGACAAGCAGACCCCCATCCCACCCCATGGAGGGTCTATGCTCCAGCCTTATACCTGGGGACAAAGAGGAGAGGGAAGTGGTGATAGGATTCTCTGTTGGTTTCCCTGAACCCCGGGAAGAAGCTGGAGAAAATAGAGATGCTGGATAAATGGCGGGACGTGGCTGGGGGCCTGGTATGGGAGAATCAGGGGGTCTGGCGGCAGGCCCCTCAGAATGAGGAGAAGCTACCCTGAATGTGGATCTCTGGCCTTCCCCTGTCTCACCTGTCCCAGGGTCTTGGGCCCTGGATGCCACCTCTCCTCGTCCAGAGTGCCCAGACTGTGTCTGACTTCCTGGGTGCAACAGCAGGGCACTCCCAGCTCCCACCTCATATGCCTTGTTGGAAGAGACTGAGGTGTGAGATAGCCAGAGATATTCCATCCCCCTGGACAACTGGATGTGCAGGAGGTAAAGCTGCAAAGACAGCTCTGGGGACAAGGACACATAAACGAGGCCCCAGGTTCAATTCAATTCAACCCCCCCCCCCCCCACGGAGGACTGTCAGATGTGCTCTTGGTAACCTAGAAGCATCCTTGGTCCTGAGCATTGAACAGCCAGACCTGATTGGCTGAAGGTGGCTACACCCCAAGACCTCGTTCCCCCAACAAGCACCCAAACTTGATGGCAGGAACTTGACCACATGAGCGGGCCCCTAGACAGAGTTCTCTTGCTTCTCCATCATAGTGCCTTTGGTAGTGGCTGTTTTTTGGTTTTGGTTTGGGGACCACACCCAGTGGTGCTCAGGACTTATTCCTGGCTCTGTGCTTGCAGATCACTCCTAGCAGGGCTTATGGGACTATATGCTGGAGATTCTTTCTCTCTCTCTCTCTCTCTCTCTCTCTCTCTCTCTCTCTCTCTCTCTCTCTCTCTCTCTCTGTCTCTCTGTCTCTCTCTCTCTCTCTCTCTCTGCCTTCCCTCAGAACCTCCACTGCAGTTCTTTTGGGAAGAGAATGCAGAGACTCAGGGGTTCTCCCAGGGGCAGCCAGTAAGGGGTGAACCCCATCTCCTGCTCTGTCTCCCTGGGTTTCCCACCTCACAGAGAGTGGCACAGAAGCCTGGGGTGGCCCCAGACTTCCTACCATCCAGGTAAAGACAGATGGTATGAGGCGGGGTGGGGGCAGCTGCCATTTCCTAAGCAAATATTTATTGAGCCCCAAGTCAGGTCCTGCGCGATGCATCCGGAGCGTAGAAGAGAGGGAGACAGATGTTCACCTCCCCCACGTGGAGCTGATGCTGGAAAAACAGAAATTAATTATGTGGCTAATGGACTAGAAATGGACGGCTTAACCTCATCCCAGATGTGAGGTGGTCCGTTTGGTGACATGATTAATTTTTGCACCAAAGACTGTTAATTCATTTGAGTTCTCAGGACCCAGGAAGTTAATGGGTGGGGGAATAGACCTGGGGGGGAGAGAGGCAGATGGCATTGTCCCTTTGACTTGAATAAAGGTCAAAAAGGGATGAGGGTTGGACAGTCCTTGGACACCACCAAATGCTGAACAGAGTCTGCTCAGCTCAGGAAAGGCCCCTCAGAGGGGTCCCCCGATGAACTTCAGTGCTGTACTTATGCATGGGGACAGAGTTTGAAACAGACATGGGGGTCATCTGGTGGCTCAAACTCACTCACTCTTGGGGAGTTGGGCTGCTCCTCATGGGGTTCAAGGGTAATTCCTGGCTCTGTGCAAAACATCTGCCCACAGCCCGTGAACAGCCCTGAGCCAGAGGACTCACAGTCAACGACCCTTTAACCAGGAGCCGTTCCCTGGGAAAGGAGCAATCCAGAGTGTTACGGTAGAACACTAAATTGGGGGGAGATCTGGATGTCACAACAGATGATTCATGCATCTGGTAGAATCATACAAGAAGGTTATGTTATCTATAGATAATGTGGGATGGAGGGATAGCACAGGGATGACGGCACTTGTCTTGCATGCAGCCCAGCTGGGTCCGATCCCTGGCATGACATATAGACCCATGCGCCCTACCAGGAAAATAGACCTCTGAGTATAGAACCAGGAGTAAGCCCTGAGCACAGCCAGGTATGACTCCTGCACCCACCCTGAAACAAAGAAAAATAAAAAACAAACGATAGATAACAGACATCTCCATCAAGATGGCTAAAATTAAGGGCTGGGATGCAGTCTGAGGGAGAGTGCTTGCCTCAGATACTGGGAGTCCCCAGGCTTGATCCCCAGCACCGCCAAGAAATAAATAATGAAAGGAAAGAGATAAAAATCGAAAAGGACAACACCAGGTATTGGTGAGATTGTTACATTGGGGACTCTCAGACACGGTAGGAGGCAAACTAAGAAGTCTCTCTGTCTGGGGAACTGGCAGCTTCTTCAAAGTTATGCTAGTGGGCTTAAAATGGACAGTTTAACCTCAGCGATGTGAGGCCTTGTTCTCTCTCACCCAGCCATGCGCCTACTGGGTATTTTTCCAAGGACAAGGACAACTGTCTTTCCACAGAACTACTTACCCCTGAATCCCAAGAGTCACTTTACTCATTACGCCCCAAAGTGAAGGCAGCCCAGGTGGCCATCAATGAGAGGAGGGGAGGGAGGAAAAGCCCCTTCTGACAGATTCTGATAGAGGAACCCGTCACCAAGCAGGAGGAGCAAAGTCAGGGGACATCCAGCAGGAGGGATAATCACAGAGCATGTCGGGGAAAGACTGCCATATGGCTCCCAGCTGAGAAACACTGGCCTAGGGCAGAAACATTTTCAGAGCTGATACAACTGTCAACCCACAACATGTCCACTTCCATGGGTGCGCATGAGCACACAGTCACAGACACACTCTCTCACAAACACACACACTCTCACTTATTCTCACTCATTCTCTGACACACACTCTAACACACTTATTCTTGGACACACTCGCTCTCTGACAGTCATTTTCTCACATACACTCATTCTCTCACACATATTCATTCTCACACACACTTTCTCTCTCACACACTCATTCTCAGACATTCTCAGATACTCTCTCTCACACACACTTTAAGAC